AATTTTATACAAACCTTTAATCTAAATTTATTTTTTCTATCCAAATTTTGCAAGGTAAAATACACCTTTTTATAAAGATAATAAAAAAATATCTAAAAGATATATTCCACTTTTAAGAAAATAGTGACGGTTAAATTCTCAAAATAGGAAAATCTCATGTGAAATGGTGTAAGTGAGCCAAGCCGGCTAAGTGCCTAGTGAATTGAAACCGATAAGCTAACAAGTCAAGTTCAAGGTAGCCACAACTCTACTCATTAATTAGTTCTTGAGCCATATTGTTTAAAAAATAATTAATAAAAAATATAGTTAAAATATATTAAAATTCTAGAATTTATTTAGATTATTACAGATATTTAATAAATAATATTTTACTTTTTGTATCAAGTGATTTCTTATTATCTCCTAATTATTCATTTTATTTATCATTTTATTATAATATTATTTTAAATTAATATTTTTTCTCTTTCATACTAAACACGCTGCCACTGATGCCGCTCAAATTTGTAGAATTAAGCTCAAGTTCAAGTCAAAAGTGGCTTGAGCTCGACTTATTTACACCTCTTATCCTGTATAATGTTATGATTAAAGTTCAAAAAAATAATATTAAAATTCTTACCAGTTCTGGACTAAAAAAAATTATTATATTTAATAATAAAAATTAAACATGACTAAAGGTCGAAACAATTAATATGCTTATTTAATTGGCATTGTAGGGCTTCTCCCATAGGACAGCCCTTCCAGAAATTCTCAAAGGCCCGGCCCAAGACCAGGCCTTTAAGGGGGTTTGGAAATAGTTTTCAACCAGCAATAGACGCGACTCGGTTAAAACCTCACGGCCTGCGTCATTGCCCCAAGCGCAAAGATGAGAAGAAATACAGAAGCCATAGCTTTTATAGATCGCTCTGCCGTTTTTTTCCCAGATTTACGACGTGGGACAAAAAATGGCTGAAGCTATTTGAGCTCAAAAGGTGTGTTCATGTTCGGCCCGTTTGTTTAGTGAGCCGAACACGAGCCGTTCACGAACAAAACGTCGTCTTGACAATCTTAATCAGATAGTCATAAGATGTTAAGAATTGGGGCAAGATTTAAAAATTATTGTTTATATTATTAAAACATCATTTGACATCATTTGAATTGAATCTAATTTAATAAATTTTATTCTATTTTTTTAATTAATACTTATAATTAGTTATAGATCTTTATAGTCTTGCAGTCAATTAAGTTTTTTAAAAATACTGCTCATCAAAGATATATATACATACATATATAAAATTGATTAGTAGCATTTCGAGCTAAAACGAGCCAAACACGAACTAACAAATATTCGTACGTGTTCGGCTCGCTA